TATCTTTTTTTCCCCATATTTGTATCTCATGTCTAATCATTGATGTTAATTTGAGGAAGAATATTTTGTATAATAAAATCATTTTGAATTTAATTAACAAGTTGAGATTTTTTTAAAAATAAAAGTGAAATATTCTGGGAACTTATTTTTTGTTTTCCCAAAATTAAAAGATTGCTATTTTTTACAAATTGTTGCCATTAACATTTCATTTTCTAGACTAATTTTTATCAATGTAAAATTAGTTTAGTTAACAATAATTGAAGTTCTGTTGGTCCGAGGATTGGCATGCTATTGTTGTTATTTTACATGTAAATATATAACCTAAGTAATAAAATAAACAATAGCTACTTAAAAAAAGGAAATAGGTGCTCAATTGATTGCATTCAAACTATGAATTCTGTTAATGAATAATTGCTAATTTATAATTTTATTTACAAGGAATCAATATGCATCATATATTGACCAGGACTAAATTACTGATTACTTAACAAATTATATCTAAACACATGATGTGATGTATATTGCATTTGGTCACCTTTATACTCATACCATTTTCTTTTCTTCCTATTTATATTTTAAAAGTGCAAAATTCTCTTGATTATATTAGTGAAAATGCATAAAATGTTTTACAAAATTATTTCAATTTATTTACAAAATATTAGTACTTTTAGTAGAAACAATGCATTGTAGGAATGGTTTACTAATTTTTTAGTAAACATAACTACTGCATTAAAAAGTTAAAAAAAACTTGATTTTATTATGCTTTAATTAGGAGTGCTTTTGAAGAAAAGAATTAGGGGATTAATTTCTCTGATTTAAGAATTTTTAGAGATTGTAATTATCAAAAGAAAAAGAATTTTTAGAGATTGTAACTCTCTTATTATTTGATTTAATAAATTTGATATTTGTGCAAGTTTTCATGTCCTTTTATTTTCAGCAACGAAATTTGTGCTTACAGTTAGATACAAATATGGTAAAATATCCTTCATATGTATGTCATGGATATTTGAGACTTTGAGTAAAAAAATTTTTTGTTGTTCCATTTGGATTGGCTATTTTTTTAAAAACAATTTTTTCAAATACAATGTTATGGTAATATACAATAACTCAAAAAACATCTTATCCATACAACATATCAAAATTTTCAAAAAATTTTTATAGTAAAAGTTTTTCATATACACTGCTACAGTAAAATTTTTCAAAAACACTTCTAAAAATAGTTAATTGAAACGGATTAATATTATAGTGCGCTAATTATTTTAGAACCATTTTATACGTGAACTAAATTTAATTTAAATTATACAATAGATTATATGTGCAAGTGATTTTCATTTAATTGTTGGATCTTTTTTTTTATGAACAATCTCCCAAGGAAAAAAATCCAGATCATACTGATTTTCTTATATTAACTGTTATACTAATTTTGTCATTTTTATTGTTATACTATTTCTCATTTTGTTTGGGGTTTTTTTTTTTTAAACCCCTGGTTTTATTGATGTAAAGCGGTAGAAGTACATGAAAGGCGCTTGCGCTTACACATGTGTTTGCACGATTCTTATCCTAGCAGACTAGGCGGCTAACTCTGGGCACCCGACGAAGATAAGGGTATTGGCATGCATCCAACTTGGTGAGCCCCCGAACGTGCGTTGGGAGGGTGGCGGAACCGTAGGTCTCCGACTGGCGTGTGGTTGCTGCCCGCTTAGCAAGTGCATCTGCTACTGAGTTTGTCTCCCTGTAGCTGTGCTCTAGTATGAAATCCGCTTGGGCCAATAGGTGGTGTATACGGCAAATGGGAGTATCTAGCTTCCAAGGCGTAGAGGCACCTCGCAGCACCACCTTAAGAAGCTGTTCCGCATCCATGTGCACAATCACTCTAACCAGGCCGAGGGAGAGGCAAAATTGGAGTCCTTCCAGGAGGGCCCTGGTTTCCGCTTCCATATTCGTGCAGTAACCGTAGTAGGTGGAGAATATGCCCTGTACCTGGCCATGATGATCTCTGACTATGCCACCCCCACCCGAGTGCCCAGGGTTTCCAAGAGATGATCCGTCAACATTCAATTTGCTGTAGGGGAATGAGGGTAAGGACCAAACCAAGGAAATCCATTTTAGCGGCGGCGGCCGTACAGGAGACGGAAGTAACCCCAACCGGCTCCAGGCATCGTTCTCCGAATTTGGCAAGGCCAGGGGGTGGGCCTCTCTAATACCGCTGAGGAGGCAGACAACTTGGCGGCAAATATGGGTCGGCCGTACTGTTATACTGTTGAAAATCGCCTGATTCCTGGCCTTCCAGAGTTCCCAACAAATCAGGATTGGTAGGAGATGGGATAGGACTGCCCTCAGTGAGGTCCCCGAAGCATGGATCCACCACCCTTGCAACTTTTCCAGAAGTGAGTCCGCCACACTCCTGAGTCCTAGTGCGCACTCAAAATGATCCCAAACCTGTTTAGCGGTGCGACAGTGGACAAAACAGTGTTGTAGGGTCTCTGAATTTAAGCAAAAGGAGCATTTGGAAGGCAGATGAAGGCCAAATTGCTGTAGTTTATCCGGAAAGGGAAGCCAGCCGTTGAGGAGTCTCCACATGAAGACCGAGACCTTGAGGGGGATACGTCGATCCCAGATTAATTTTCGCGAGATCAAATTGTTGGAAGGCGTTCGAAGCATTTTCAGAGCCGAGTGCACCCCGAACCTACCATCTGTGGTAGGTGTCCAGACCCACGTGTCTCGCCCCTCAGAGAGCTGAATTTGTGATCCAAGAATTCGAGTTTGCTCGTCACCTGTCAGCGCTTCGCGCACCTGGACTAGGTGCCATGTTGTTCCATCGAAAAGGTCCCCAACTTTGACGTTAGGCAACGGGATGGGTCCCTTCCCTTCTGTGATGGGGCCTGTCTCTAACCAGTTGTCAAAATAGAATGACGCGGTACCCTCTCGGAGAAGCAATTCCATGAGGTCTCGACAGGCGACCAGCCGTCTCCATATTCGCGAGCTTGTGGGTCTCAGTGGAGCCTCAATGATGTGACGGGTACCTGGTGCGTATTTGGCAAGCATGAAACGGGCCCAGAGGGAAGATCCGGACCGCAGTTTCCACCACATCTTGCACCCAAAGGCACGCAATACATCCTCCGAAAGCCCACATTTTGTTTGGGCTTTAACTCTTATTAATTCTTGTGTCCCAGATGTAAATTTTTTAAAACTTTATCATCTTATTATATTCATAGGTGTTAAATTATAAAAATTGTGATATACAAACAAGTGATATTCTATATTTAACTAGGAAGATTTGTTGTTATTGTTATCCAAACTTTTAAACTTTTCAAAAATCAAAAATTGAAAATGATTAAAAACTTATAATATGACAAAATTTTATTATATATTTTACAAGGTTATCTAAAAAATGAAACAACTTTTCATAGTATTTTAAAATATATAAATACAAAAAAAATTTAAATTATACATATAATCATTTATTATACAAGTATATTACGAGTACTTAATAACTAAGGTACTAAGTTTTAATCATTAATAAAACATTTTATCATTATTTCAAATAAACTTCCTAATACTAGTTTGAGATAAGTTTTTAATGTAAAATTGTACATGTATTCCAAAAATCAGTAAGTTTTGATCATTAATCAAATTTACCATGTTATTAGTAAAAATTACTATTATGTATAAAAACTTATTGTTAGTTGAACTAAACTTACTCTCTAAAAAGTAAGTTTGGGATATAAAGTAATAATTTATTTATTTAAAAAGTAAGTTTAATACTTATTCCAATTTACCTTTTGAGGTATAAAAATTACTAATCTATTAATGTTAACTTACTATTTTAGATGGGAAACTTACTTCCATATTTTTAGGTGATATCCTATTTAGGTGGATAGGTCCAATAAATAATTAAATGGTCGCTAAAAGTGCAACAATATGTTATATTAGGTAAAAACTATTTCGTTACCATAACTATTGTTACTAAAGCATTGTCTTATCAGCTCAAGTCAAGATTAGCTTGTCTATCTAGCCTACTCCATTTTTAATTTCATGCTAGTCTTTGGACTCCCATAATCTATCTTTCCAGTTCCTATCACCCATCTGTGATTATATTTCCAATTCAATCTTTTTTCGATCGTTTGTGGGTCCCAATCAAATAATGCCTCACCAACTCCATGGTCCATACCCATTAAAAAAGAATATCGTTAGCTAGCCTCTTGAGGTTGTTTAATCACAAGAAAAGTAAAAAGGTTCTTTTGCATCTTATTGAGATAATTTTGTGTGCGTGACCCTAAACCCTAAACCCTAAACCCTAAACCCTAAAAAGATCGTTAGCTAGCCTCTTGAGGTTGTTTAATCACAAGAAAAGTAAAAAGGTTCTTTTGCATCTTATTGAGGTAAACTGGTGGAATTACCTTAGATTCTGTGTGTGTGTGTTTATTTGCGCTGTTGAAAGAAAAAGGAAAACAGGAGAGGAGTGTCAGTGTGAGTATGGGTTCTTAGTCAAGGCTCTTAAACTTCCTGCGTTCCCTTTCCCCCAACTCCTTGTTCCCACATCAGTTATGAGAGGTGTGTGTGTGTGTAGGATTTAAGGTCCGTGAGTTTACCCAGAAGTTAGCAATTGCCTTTTGGGTAAACTGGTGGAATTACCTTAGATTCTGTGTGCGTGTGTTTCTTTGCGCTGTTGAAAGATAATTTTGTGGAAAAAGTACTGTAACACTTTTTTGATATGATGTATGTGAGATAAAAAGGTGATTGAAAAATATGTTGATGATACAAACAAATCAGTGTGTGTAAATAAGGTATAAATAAAGTGTAATTTTTTACAATCCAAACACGTATTGTAGATAGTTAAATACTTGATCATTTACTGGCTCAACTTTTCCACCAAGACTTCCGGTCATCACATAGTTTCTTCAAACACAGAACGGTGAAAGTGATGCTTTTAAACTTGTATAAATGAGCTGCTTCTTTGAGCATACTTTATCATATAGTTCACTATCAAAAGCAATCCAATGGAGCATCATCTTCTTGGCACTTCTTTGTCTTTACTACTAGTAATGTTCTTATTCAGTTCTATTCTCGTCACCAGCCATTTTCCGTTTGGCCGCAGCAAACAAGCTTATACTCATTCAAATGTCTCCTGTATCGAGAGTGAACGACAAGCTTTTCTTCAATTCAGAAATGGGTTGATAGATGAATCGAATCATCTATCATCTTGGATAGGAGAGGACTGCTGTTCATGGGAAGGTATTGGTTGTCACAAAAACACTGGTCATGTGGTGAAACTTGATCTACAAAATGCGAAGCCGTTACACTCAAATAATGTATTTACTTATTGCAAAAATTGCTTGGGAGGCCAATTAAGTCCATTTTTGGTCAATTTGACCAATTTGCGATACCTGGACTTGAGCAAGAATAATTTTTCAGGAATCCAAGTTCCCACATTCCTTGGATTGTTGAAAAATTTGAGATACTTAAATCTTGCAAATGCAGTGTTTGACGGTGAAATTCCCCGCCATCTAGGAAATCTCTCATGTTTACGGCATTTAGAACTTGGAGGTGTAACTCCCTCCTTAACATGGAATCGATTGACAACGAAGGATCTCGACTGGATTGTTGGGCTTTCTTCTTTAGAAGGCCTAATCCTGTCTGAGGTGAATCTCGGTGCCGCTAAAGATGGTTTACAGACAATTAACATGTTTCCTTCACTAACAAGCTTCGAATTGTCTGGTTGTGGACTTTTCATCAATCCTCATCTTTCATAGGTCAATTTCACATCTCTTTCTTCCCATGAACTCGGTGAAAGTAATTTCAACAACTACACGATCCCTCCTTGGCTCCATAATCTTACTGGTCTCCATAATCTTGGTCTTAGCTCTAATCATCTTTCCGATCCAATTCATGGCCTATCCGAACAAATGACCTCTCTAGTTTATCTCGATCTAGGGGAAAACCGCTTTGATGCATCAACGTTGATGTCACTTTGCAATGTGAGCAGTCTTAATTATTTGGATCTGAGTTTTAATGATATGCAAGGGTCGATACCGAGTGAAATAGGCCAACTTTCGAAGTTGCAAGTATTGGATATTTCTTCCAACTCATTAACTGGTGTATTATCTGAAGACCATTTTGCAAAACTCGGAGAGCTAAAGTCATTGAACCTATCTGAAAACTTATTCACTCTGAATGTGAGCTCCTGGTGGGTTCCTCCTTTTCAACTCCGAGAAATTATGATGTCATCCATCAAAGTAGGACCCCTATTTCCAGTTTGGCTTCGAACGCAAAAGGAGGTTCAAAGTTTAGAGATGCAGAATGCAGGCATTTCTGATAGCATACCCAACTGGTTTGGAGTGCTTTGTTATGAAATTTATATTGTAGATTTCTCCAACAACAACCTAACTTGGAATCCGTTGGAGTTCAAACAAATGAAGAAGAGTCCTCCGATGGTAATTCTCCAAGCATAGTTCTAAAGTCCAACAAATTGGATGGATCTCTCAAATCGTTTCCGTCTTATATTTATGAATTATATCTTTCACAAAATTTTCTTACCGGACATATTCCATTGCCTGATGTTGGTCAAACTGTTGCATCTACTCGTTTTCTCTTACTCTGTGATAATCATTTCACAAGCAGTATCTCGGAAGACTTGTGCAAGTTGGAAAATTTAAATTATCTGGATCTGTCCAACAATTTTCTATCCGGAAGAGTTCCTCTGTGTTTGGGAAATTTGCCAGACCTGCGGGTCCTAAACTTGGCAAATAATAGTCTATGCGGTCAAATTCCGAGTTCACTGGGCAACTTGGGGCAACTTTGGATTCTGCATTTGAATCTAAATAAATTCGTTGGGAAGCTCTCATCCTCAATGCAGCGCCTGATAAATTTACAAATTCTTGATCTCGGTGACAATGGACTAACAGATATTATACCAACATGGATTGGGGAAAGGTTATCAAATTTAAAGTTTCTAAGATTTCAGTCAAATAACTTCCATGGAGTCATTTCTGATGAGCTCTGCCTACTCTCAAGTCTTCGTGCTGAACCTAGCGAATAATAATTTAACAGGATCTATTCCTCATTGTTTTATCAACTTCTCAATGATGGTATCAAGTGAACCAGGAACTGACCTATCAATGAATGAACTCTTCGGTGCAATCCCTGAAAGCTTATCTGCTTTAAACTAGTTGAACTTCCTGAATTTGTCACACAATAAGCTATCAGGGCCAATACCATCAGGGAATCAAATTCAGACCTGAACCGATCCATCTATCTATGAAGGAAACATTGGACTCTGTGGCAAGCCACTCCCAAATGATTGCCTGGAACATAAATTGCCTATGGAAAATGGGCATATTCATGATGATATAGGCCACACGAGTCTAATTGGTCTTGGTTTTATGCTGGTATAGAACCGCGTTATGCTGTCGGGCTATTGGGAGTTTTGGGAATACTTCAGTTCAACAAGTCATGGCGCTATGCATACTTCAGGTTTCTGGAAAATGTCTATGACAAAATTTGCGTAATGATTGCATTGAAGGCTAATCAGCTGAGGAGGAATTTCCATTAAGTAATACCCTGTAAAAGCACATTTATTCTGTTTTTCATATCACACAGTAGCATACTCTCCTTGAGAATTTGCAAAACTATGGTAATTTGTAATAAAGATTTGTTTTATGCGTCCCAACTTGACCGATTCTTATTCAATAAGAAAATGATAGCTTACTAGTTTTCTTTCTTTTTTTTTTTCAAGACAAAGAAGCTCAATAAGTTATATCAACAAAGGAATAACGCACCAAAAGCAGTAGATGATTCTAGCATCAAATCAGTATCTCGCAAAGGAAATTTTCCCAATAAACTATTACGTGATTGAAGACCAGAAATTTCCATTCCTTAACTTTTGGAACTTTTTATCTTAAAAACTAGGTACCAAAACCTTAGTTGCTTTCTCTAGATTCTCTCTTTCTATTGGCAATTATTTTTACTCTCTCAAAAGTTTGATTTCTAATAATTCTCCTCTATTCTTCATATTTACATTGCATTTTCCTATGTTTCTTTGCATTCCATACTATGAGAATCTTATTGTTTTTTATTTACAACCGATTATAAGGATGATAGGATGTGAAATAATTATTTTTCTGTTTGCATTAGAATGCATTAAATATTTTATAGCGAGCAATTTATAGGTTGTTTATCTTGCTTACTGATCTAATTTTTGCGTCAATAGATTTAAACACTTTAGAAGAATTCTATACTTGTTTATGCTAATAATTGATTTAGTTGTTTAATTTCTAATATACATTCTAGCTTTTCTGCCAACAACTCTTATGAATTACCCACTAATGATTTTCAGGTATTACATTAATTCTACCCACCTAAGTTTCACTCTCGAAACTTAATTTGACCAGATTAGCATAAAAACAAACTGCCCTTCCAATTATATCACTTTACATGAACAAGTATTAATTAAACTACTAATATTTAGGGCACACACCAATGTGTGTACACCTAATAAAAAACATATTATTAAAATTTTGAGTAAATTTGTTGAAATCATTTTTAAAGGAATTGGTTTTATATTTTTGACAATGGGTATTGGAAAATTCACGAAAATAAGTGTACAAATAGATAGTTATTTAGCAGTAATCCATAACCATAATCGATAGTTGATTACATTGGGTAGCTAGCAAGGGTAGTTAAAAAATAATATAAAATGACAAAATTTTATTTATACCAAAAGCCCTCTCCCCCTTTATATATTTACAACAAAAGCTTTCTCTACCTTTACATAGAGCATAGATATTATTTACTCAAGGACAATTCATGTCCCCCCTCCTCGCCTTTCCTTTCTCGCCTTTTTGGTCAATCGTCAACTCCTATTACTACTCATACTCTAACAAATATTAGGGAATGATCCAACTGGACCAATGGGGCTGGAGGAAGAAGATCTCACCTGTATATCAAAGAGGTTCACTAGACCAAAGAAGGGTTGCTTCATGTTCAAATCCGCTATTCTTTTTACAAGGCCATAGAAATTTCAAACACCTGATGCCCATTACGTTTCCCTTGCGCTAACATAAATCCAAACATCAACGAGTAATTCGACTTAATTAACCTTATTTTCATTTGAACTTTAGTTATTTCTAAAGTGATAATCATGTCTTACTGTTCATTAAAGTAATCTACTATCAATTAAAACTCCACTAGTAAATTCCGTGCTCTCATTTTCTGATTTGCCAGATTCTCAGTTGCACCCCGAATTTATTTCATACTACATGCCATCACAGTGGATCTAGAAATATTATAACATAACCACCTAGAAATTTCTTCAAGATATAATCCTTTTCAATAACATCACCCACTCATGATTTTCAATCTAGAATTACATGTAGTTTTAAGATTCAAATCAAGTGATCATAAAGCCATGTGAGAAAAACTAATGAACATAAATTAAATTTCTAACTCATCGATTGCCATAAATGGTCCTATTAGAAACTAATTCTTGCAATCAATAATTGGTAGACATGCAATAAAAATGTGTCCTAGGCCTCCTGATCTTCTAAACAAACATGTAAGAGTAGAAGGGTTTCATGAACATCCTCCTAATGAGGAATGTTATATCAACGGATCCCAATCACGAATTAAAGATTCGCGAAAAAAGAGAGAAACTCTAAAAAACTGAGCAATTCCAATAAAGTTTGATAAAAGTTGATAAGAGAATGAGATATTACTTAGGTCCTATTTGGTAAATAACTCCCAATAAATATCTGGGTAAAACTTAGGCCTCGTTTGGTGAATGAGTTTTTTGGGTGTTTGTCTAAAATTTTACTGTAATTTACTGTAAAAATTGTAGGAAAAATTTTTAAAATGATAAACTTTTTTCTTTTCTTTTTATTTCTTTTTCTTTCTTTCTTTCTTTGTTCTTTTCTTTCCTTTCTTCTTCATCTCCTTTCCCCGTCCCTACCACCTCTCTCTTCCCGTTGGAACAAGAATTTTTTTTGCTCTTTTCTATCTCCCCTCCCCTCTCCCTCCTTTCCCGGGTGTTTTCTAGTCGTGTGACCAGATCGAGCAAAGGGGTAAGGGAAGGGTGGTGGGGGAGGGAGAAGGGGGTGAGAGGTGGCGGGAAAGAGGTGAGGAGAGGGGCAGTGGAGAGGAAAAGGAAGAAGAGAGAGAAAAAAAAAGAGGTGGCCTTTGGTGCCGGTCGATCTTGGCCGGCGGCGAGGTGGTGGTGGGTTGAGGTGGAAAGAGAAAGGAAGAAGAAAATTTTTTGTGTGTTTTGGATATTTTGAAGTATGTAGTTTAAAAATTTTGAAGAGTTTTTTGAGATTACTGTAGTTAAAGTTGTTAAAAAATTGGTAGGAAACAAACTTAACCAAAAATTTGTTTGCCAAACAGGCCATTAGTTCTAGGAATGCTTTGAAAATCCTTGTTAGAGGGATAGTGAAATCTTGTTATCCATTAATATCTAAGGTCATGTTATTCAATAATGGTAATTGAGAAAAATTTTTTGCTCTTTTTTGATTGATTTTTATTCATAAATTCAAGTTATTATTCAAGTTATAGTAATTTATTGTTGAATTTGGATTATTTATGTTGAATTTGGCTAGGTATAAAGTTAATTGAAAATGCATAAAAGTTTCATAAATAAGGCAACCTGTTTAGACTTTGTTTTCGATGATGTGTCAATTATGTTTGTGAACTTTAATGACACAAAGGGTATTCCCAGGTACAATTTATGAACGCCTGGATAATCAAACCAATTGTCCCAGCTCCGGAAGAGGAAACTGGTATCATTTGTATGCAGAAACTGACAAGATGGGTTGACAGGTGTCGAGCGTGTGTAATAATAATTACTAAAAAGTCCTAATTACCACCACAATTAATTATAGAACAAATCCAAGTACTGGAGCAGGGACCCTAGATGTGCAATAGGTTACTTGATTCACCCTACTCCTAAAGAGTTTGTTTGATCCGATACACCAGCATTGTCTATAAAAGTATTAAATTTGCATACAATGGCAAGTAGGGTCGATTCCACAGGGAACGGATAAGAGGTTGTTTCTTTCCAAATCAATAGAACAAAATTGGGGGATATCTAAGGGAATAAAGATGGAAATAAAATAAACAAAATTCAAAAACTAACTCAACAAGTACAATTTACTAAAAATAACAATTAATAAAATTCTATCCAAAGGATCAACTCTTCAGACACGGTCCAATTAACTGATCATCGATGCAAAGATATTTCATTCATTCGTCACTAGGTTGGTTATAGCCACCAACAAGCTCTGACAGTCAATTCTTCCTTACTTTTTCGACAGCCAAGGTACGACCGTTGACTGCTTCTCTAACCAGGAAACAACATTAGGTACGACCGTAGGAATTTAATTATCCAGTTGTATTAAAGTTAGAAGAACCCAACCCTAACCAATAAACACGCTAAGAGGGTTTATTTAAACTAAATCTTACG